ATTCTAAACAATACACCGCTTTTATTGAGTTTTCTTTGCTACATATCAATTACTAAGAGGACATTCCAAATTTGTATAAATATTGAAAATGTAAAATTACATTACATTGCATTTTTCGAAATTTTTTAAATTGATTTTTACCAAATAAAAGCAATGTTAAAATGCACACTGTCTCTGCATATATTGTACCATTGTTTTTACGTTTACACTGCGCGCGAACACTTTTACGTTCATTCAACAGATCTTTTTTACCACAACATAAAATTAATAATAATAAAGATAAGTTTGTAAAAAACGTTAATACTACACAACGTACCATTTCATGCATATTTACATCTGTATTTAGTAATATATTCACAACGTATTATAAAGTGAGGTTATAAAAACTTTCAACTTTCTACGGCGAATTCAACACAAATTAACCAATATTTTAATGTGGGTTTTACATACCTTTTTAATTTACCGTTGCAAACCTTTTAGCGTTTTCTGTATCTAAACTATTGCAAAGCTTTGGGTTGTAATCGCCAGCGATTCTTATAGTACTGATGCACCTTTGTCTTTTCTCTGGATTGAGCTCGATCGCTACACCAACGCTGCCAACATCACTCGACGTTGGCTCTTATTGGCTACAACGTTCCCAGATGCGTGACAGGAACCAATATATTGGTTTCAATAATTTTTTACTCGATTTGTAAAAACTGTCTTGAAAAATTGGAAGAGATAGAAATTGTTTATTTTGTTCCCATACAGCTGTAAGAATTTTTTCCAAATGTTGTATTAACTTTTTTATACTTCAAGAAAATGCAAGAAAACGCAATACTAAAAAGTTAATACAAAATTGTAAAAAAATTCTTACAGCTGTATGAGAAGAAAATAAACAATTTGTATCTCTTTCAATTTTTCAAATAGTTTTTAGAATTCGAGTAAAAAATTTTAGAAACCAATAATTTTGTACATATTTCCGAAAAAATATCTTAGAAAATGGAAGTCGTATAAAAAAATGTTTCAAACAAAAATTGTTTATTTCTTTACGTAGAATAAAATTCCGTAATGAAAAATAAATGTTTCTATTAAAAAAACCAAAGTTGACCTTGTCCTGACCTTTGAGACACCATCCAAGCTCAAACTGATAAGAGCAGTAAATATATCTTTTAAAACCCAACAACTTTTGTTTTGAAAGTTTTATCGAAAAACCTCACTGTAAAAAGATATTCAGGGGTTCCCATATTTTGAAGACACCCTGTATACATAAATGAAAGGTGTTTCGCGTAATATATATTCAACATTGCAGCAATATCTTGTAATCAATGTTGAATAATCAACATACATTCCATCTAGAAAAAACATCCTCACTTCTACTTTCAACATTGCAACGTCTCATCAAGGTTTTTTCAACTTTCTGTGCTGTATGGGTAATGTTGTGCGTCTAAAAATCACATGAAAATCAATCTTTCGTTATATAAATTTGTTTGTAGAACGGTTTGGACATATTTCAAGATGAATCCGACATCCATTAAGAAAAACCATCATATATATATGAGATTCACTCAAGAATAAATTGTCCTTATTGGACATCGACTGTATTTCAAAGTGCATTGAAGAAAAAATATACTTACTATTTTTGAAAAAATAATTAACTGGTTGATTTCTGCGTCATTTTTATAACGTGCATTATACACATACTTATTATATTTTATTTAGTTTTGAAGTCTGTTCAGATTTCCATTATTGAGTAGCATATTATAATTCAAAATACACACATCGCGCACACACGCACGCACGCACACACACTGAGAGAAAAATATAGTTACTTTTGGCGTCAACTATATGCTTTTGTGATTTTAACCACAAAAATAATTGGAAGAACCATTGTTTCAGTAAGTGTTATTAAAAAGATGGTTCTTCTAATTATTTTTCTGGTTAAAATTACAAAAAAGTATAGTTGACGCCGAAAGCAACTATATTTTTCTCTCAGTGCACGCACGCACACATATACACATACACACAGACACACAAATACAAAATCAAACGAATTTTTGTTTTATAGCAATAAAGACCAAAATCTATTGTGTTTCTTGTTTAATTATGGACGGAAAAAAAAGATTTAGTTGAATTAACCAAATATCTGGTCGAATATGAACGATCCAGAAATTTCGATTGAACCCGAATTCTGTTTAAGTTAACAAAATTCGGGTTACTTCAATCGGAATTTCTGGATCGTTTATATTCGACCAGTTATTTGGTTAATTCAATCAAATCTTTTTTTTCGTGTGCTACTAAAGAATAAAATATTCGTTCGATTTATTATTAAGTTATACTAATGAAAAATTAAATTAGTTATACTACGATCTCAATTTTTCAATGAAAAGGATAGCAACTTGTAGTCACTAACGAGGTAATACTAAAGATCGTTACGAGATTTTGCGAAATTTTACTATTTAATAATTTTCTATCAGTAAATTTGTCGATAAAAATGTGTAAAATTAATGTAGATAATAACTATAGAAATGCGGTTTCATAAAAATATTGAATATAGAATATAGGTATAGATAAAATCTGTTAACCTATTATTAGCTGATCTCCATCGTATAACAATAGAGACGTTAAGCCCGTATCAGACTACCGACTGCACAGGCCGACCCGACTGCCGACTACGATTGCCGAGTTTCAATGGACCAATCACAGTGAGGCGCTGACTCGGCGCCTCACTGTGATTGGTCCATTGAGAGTCGGCAGTCGTAGTCGGCAGTCGGGTCGGTAGTTTGATACGGGCTTTATTGTCAACGATTTGAAGATCCAACGATCTTAACTATCTGATCGCAGTTAATTTGTTGGATTAGTGATAGCACATTGTAGTACAAACCATTTATTGTATCATTCACATTTTGTAATCTGGACCGTGACAATCTTTTTTGTACAACATTATCGCGAGTTTTATTATGTACACTGGATCCAGCGAATTGACTGCGACTAGATAGTCAAGACCGTTGGATCTTCAAATCATTGGCAATAACATTAATGTCTCCGTTATTACACGACGGAGATCGGTTAATAATAGATTCTATCGGTTAATAATATTAGGTTTATAACTTGAAACCCGCCCTCTAGTGGTAAATAGCTGTACCTTTGACAATCATCAACTGTAATGACTGAACAAGGCATCATTTATAGTTTTGACCTCTGTCAATAATATTCAGTATATAAAAGTTTGTGTTTGTGACATAGTTATTTACTGCGAAGAAAATGTCTGAATTTCAACTAAATAAGTATCATTTGCGCAAAGCTTAGCTTTTCTGTTTCAATTTGAAGAAAACTGCTGCTGAATTTCATCGAATGTTTGTTGAAGCTTATAAAGAACTTGCTCTATCGGAAACAACTTGCAAGGAATGGTTTCGATGATTCAAACTTAGTGATTTTGATATGAATGATAAAGAACATCCAGGCCAGCAAAAAAAAATCCGAAGATACAGAACTGCAAGCATTGGTTGATGAAGATCCATGTCAAACATAAAATCAACTTGCAGAAACGTTGAATGTTATTCAAGCAGCCATTTCCAAGCGTTTAAAATCCAAGGAAAGTATACAAGGAAGGAAGATGGGTGCCATATGAATTGAAAAAAAGAGACATCGAAAGGCGAAAAACCATCTCCGAAATACTGCTTGCAAGGCAAAAAAGAAAGGTTCTTGCACCGAATTGTGACTGGCGATGAAAAGTGGATCTATTTCGATAACTCCAAACGCCGAAAAACCATTTGCGACCCAGGCGAACTATCGACATCGACGCCAAAACGCAATATTCATGAGAAGAAAGCCATGCTCTGTATTTGGTGGGAGGTGTGGTATATTATGAGATACTGAAATCTGGTCAAACAGTCACAGGGGATCTCTACCAACAACAAATAATCCATTTGAGCCGAGCATTGCGCGAAAAACGACTAGAATATGAGACAAAACAGCATTAAAAATAATCTTACTTCATGACAACGTTCGGCCTAACTAAGGGCCGTGGCACACAGAAAAACTTAAGCAGTAAGACGTAAGCAGTAAGCAAATTAAAGGCCTTCACACACACTTTCCGTAACAGTAACCGTAAGACGTAACGTAAGAATTGACCAATCACGTTGAGAATCGTCGAAACATAAGGTCGCCATTTTTGTAAATACTCCATCGTAATTGGTCAATTCTTACGTTACGTTTTACGGTTCCTGTTACGAAAAGTGTGTGTGAAGGCCTTAACCAATCACAGTCGTTGAT